CAGACTCACTTCAATATGATGCCGCGGCTGTTTTCTATTCTAACAGCTCCACTCCCCCCCTTTTTTTTTAAAAGAACTCAATAATATTTTTATGGAAGTGCAATAACTTCATTGGAAGCTGTTTTTAGAAATTGAAGTACCGTATTTCTTGTGGTCTCAGTATTTATTCACCTACTGTGTTCAACGAGGGATGTTTTCTGAATTGTATGCTGTAGTTATAACTAAAAATGTCTTGAAATACTTATTTCGTTACAACTTAGAAAAATGAAATAATTTTTATTTTTATTCTTTCTATTCTATATTTATTTCTTTTTATTTAATTTATGTAATGTACAAATAAAAATATATAATGGTTTAATGTTGTGACCTCAAATATGCGAATTAATTAGTACAGACAATAGTTACAAATTCAGACACAAAAACGTACTTTCTGTGAGTAAACAAACCTTTGTTTTTCGGCGGATTCGAAATTTTGACGCCGGAAATATGGTCCCAATAGTTTAGTCAGGAAAGCGATCTAAATTTTGGACCTCTTAATGTTAATTTTTTTCTTTCACCATAGCTCGAGAACTTTTTAAGCGAATTGGAAAAACTTTGCACTCAATTATGAAATTCGTTTATCCAAAGATAAAAACATGCATCAAATGCAAAAAATAACTAAGTAAATATTTAATATTTTTTATTTTATTTAATAGTTCCAAAAATTTTTAAATTGGGAAGTGCGCAGTTTTTATGTCAAAGAAAGCAATTTCACATGGCAAAATAAATTTGCGTGAAAGTGGTCAAAAAGTTCTTAAAAAATCGAATTTTAAAAAGTACGTTATTTTTGTGTGTGGAAGTCCTTTTTTTTGTATTATACATAAACATATGATCGCTTCACTTCCAAAATCGATTATCTCCACTTTTAAAATTTTTTGTAAATTTAATTTTTTAAGTTCTCAATTGACTTTTTTTATTTTTTCTTACCGCTTTACATTGTTTTATGAAATGAATTAAAAATTTCGATTTTTATTTAACAGTACGAGTAGTCACTTCTGGAAATTGTAAAGTATGTGAGTGAAATGTTTTTTTCTACGCGTTTATCGCTTATCCATGTTTTACGTGGTTGCCGTTATTATAATAATCTATTGTCATACACTAAAGATTTTCCTCTACACAGCTGGTTGTGTTTTAAAGTAATCTCTACGAATAACGTCACAATTACGTGATGGAAGTGTTGTTATTCTCTCTAAAAGTAAATTTACTTTTTACCTTTTGTAATTTCCCTCAATCGTATTTTGTCAGCTGTTATTCATTTAAAGGCAGCAGATTTTCAACAATTAGATCTCTCCGGCCTTCCCTGCAGTCGTCCTTCTCAGTGTCACGATCGCGAGTGAAAACAATAATAATGACTGAAATGATGTCAAATTGACTGACACCATTCCTAAGAATAGCGTTAATTGTTAATAAGTACCTGCGAGGAGCCGTCTCCAAAAAGGCAGATAACTGGCGGCTCTTGTTTGGATGCATCGTGGAAATTAAATGTCTGTTTTTGTCTGGGAGCATACAAATTGAGAGGTTTGTCAAGGCCAGCACTTGCTGGATGTCGAACCGTGAACAGAGCGGTGACTGCTCTTAATTACTTTAATTTCACAACTTTAGTTTGATCGATTATGTAGGGTAGTCTCAGAAGAGCAGACTATATAAAATTCAGTCATGAAATTTTTTGAATCGTAAAGTAAACATGTTGCAATAGTGTATCAAGATTTCCATGGTACATAAGAGTAACTTGGAATTGTTAGGAAATTTATTACTGGAATTAACAATCAAGAAGAAAAAAAAATTATTTTTCTGTACGAAAGTAGAGTTAGATCTTTCACGGTACATAAGAGTAACTTGGAATTGTTAGGAAATTTATTACTGGAATTAACAATCAAGAAGAGAAAAAAAATATTTTTCTGTACGAAAGTAGAGNGTTTTTTTTTTGCAATAACGGACCCTATTTGCACAAATTCATAAAAGCGGACCCTGGTTGAAAGAATGTGAGTAATTTTTTCACAATTTCACGAAAAACGGACCTTTCGCAAAATGTCTGGACAGACCCCTGATGATGGAAGGTTGTGTTATATATAAAATATTGTCAAGAGCTCTTAATTTTCCTAAAATATCTGAAGAGAGAGCAGATGTGGCTCAGAGAATAGAGATTTCGTATCCCAATGAGATGAGCCGAATTCAAATCTCAGCTATGGCTGGTTCATATGAATACCGCACCCGTCTCGCACCGTGCACGGTGCTAACGTAGAATATCCTCAGTGATTGACGGATCATCGATTAGAGCCTCCTTGCCTTTAGGATGTCCGTGAGAGGCTTTCGTCGTTTTCCTCTCCATGAAACGCAAATGCGGGTTAGTTCCATCAAAACGTCCTCCACAAAGGCTAAAATTTCTCCCAATAATTGTTAAAGGAGTTCCTTGTCTTCGGGGTTGGGTTCAAAATTACAAGGCTACGAAGTTGTACAATGATAGTCATAAACTCAGAATTGGGTTGGCTGTTCAACGGTGGTTACAAAATAAAATATCTGGAAGAGTAAAAAAAAAAAAAAATCTATAATTAAGTATGAATCCTAAATTGTGTGACTTAATATTCGGGTATTTTGAGAATTCACTTCCCGAACGTATCTTTCTGTCTTGTGTATGGAGTAAAATATGGAATGGTCTGACAGTATTCCATTATTTCTTTTATATTTTTAAATAAAAACGAATATTTATTCTTTCTGTTTAATTTGTTTTCTAAAAAATATGTTATAGTTTAAAATATAATCGAAGAAAGTTCTGTAAATTAAGTTAATACAATTCTTACACTTTCTAAAATTTATAGTTATAAAAAATTGTGCTATGAAATCACTATTTCGCCGTCGAATTTTTGATATGTGAATACCCGTATTATATTTTGTCGAAACTTAAATGTATTTATGCCAAAAATTTTAAATATTAATATAATTTTTTATTCGTGTAATTTTAAACCATCAGATTATCTGTGCGAGTGATTGGAAGGAACATCGCTGGGATGTGTGATAATTAAAAAGTTTAATGAAAATAAAATGGCGTGCAAGAAATTTTAATCGCATCAATAATCGAATTTCCTTTTAAACTGTTTTTCTTTTCTCTCTCCTTTCTGGCTTCGAAATTGATGGAGAATAAAATTAAAAATTATTTCATAATGAGAACTAACTTCCGGTTTTTCGTCATGGTTTTTAGAAGAAGAAACTAAATTCGATTCCATGCGTTCTTTTGGAAATGATGGGTGCATTATTCCCAGTCATATCATATGATTGGAAGAATTTCTCTGTTTTCATGTAATTAATGTCAGCAGAGGCAATACTTCTGTTTTTCATGTTTCCGGCCCAGCTGGATTTATCGTAAATTAGAATAACCCGAAAGATAAACTACATGAATCATTATTTTTCTCTGAAAATTCCGGAATTGTTATTTAGATTCATCGTCTTGGCGTTAATGCTGGCATGTCATACTCTTACTTTTGTTGATATCGATCAGAATTTTGTACTTTTTTGATCAAATGTTTGCTTTGTCATTAAATGTAATAGGTGATAATATTTTCTTTAAATTCGATCATGTATTTTGGATTCTGAAAATTTTCAAAGTGTTGTTGCATGTAGTGCACAAACCTTAAGTTGACACCTGTATAAATTTTTATCTAGCAATCGAATCTTAATGTGTTAAGACTCAGTTTTAATGGTTCTAAAGTTTATCCTTAAATATACAATTTAATTAGCTAAAGACGATATTTTCTGGTATGAACTTAGACACTAAAACGTACTTTCTATGAATAAACATAACTTTTCCCCCTATGTTTCTTGGATTAGTGACCATCTATGCGTGCTAAAGTTTTTCGATTTGCTTGAAAAGCTCTTGAGTTTAGAGAAATGCGCAAAAAGTGAAATTAACATTAAGAAATCCAAAATTTTGACCGCTCTCTTGATCAATTGGGACTGTATTTTTGAGAAGGAGTTATGTTAATTAAGAGAAAGTATGTTTTTGCTTCTGATTTCGTAGCTTCAAATATGGTCTGTGTTAATTAAGTTAGAGTTGTAGTTCGTTAGTTAGCTAAGTTAGAGTTGTAGTTCGTGAAAATTCGATGATTAGAGCATAAGTTGTTCAGTCTTTCTTTTTGTGCACTGTTTATTCCTGTATAAGAATAGTCTCTCCCTAAGTTGTTGAAAAAACATATCCTGTTTGAAATAAATGTAGGATATATAAGGGAAAAATTACCTTTAAATGCTATGTGCTAATTGAATGCAAAATTAGAATTCCTCTATTCGGATGTATAGAATAGTGGTTTTTGCTGATTATTAATTATGCTATATAGTTAGAATCTCGTGTAAGAGACTTTTAAAGGATCAAAAACTTGATAATTTTGTATCTTATATTAAAAAAAAAAAGAAAAGCTTAATTGTGTGCAATGATTAATACGCAAATGATAAATATGTGCAATGATAAATACGCGTGCAAAGTAAGCCGCAAATTTTGAGGTTAGCTGGCAATTTAAAATAAAGCATACGGATTATTTTTTGATCCCATGGAGCAAGCGAATCGAGGCGTTTTGAAATTATTTCACTTTCAAATCATATTTTGCTTGAGTAAGCGAACTTAGTTATTAGTTAGTTTAGTTAGAACAATGCAAGATTCTCTTGGTGACTGACTGAAATGTCAATGATGTTGGATAAAGATATCATTAAATAAAACTCTATCAGCAAGTCAACAAAATTTTTAAAATGACTCACTTTTCATTATTAAAAATTATTTCCTTGTATGAATAATGAGCAGTATATACTGCTGAATCACATTTATCAAAATGTTAGTTAATTTGATAGTCATTTCTAGAATAACAAGTGTTGAAATAAAATTGGGAATAAAACTTTGATGGTTACCGTTTTCGCTCTTTTGCTTCAAAATATGTACTGTTTTTATGATGTTAATAATCGGTGTGTTCTGTTTTCCCTAGGTGTTAAACGGCAGGCATGATGTGGTGCGGCGTGTAGAGGAGGTATCAAGAAGTTCATCGTTGATTTTTTGACATGGAAGGTATACCCTCTAAAATCCTTGAAGAGGATTCGTTGTCGAAGCGTCTCCGTCTTTCGCTGGATGTTGGCGTCCATGGTCACGCCTTCACAAAATTGCATCCTAATTCTTATTCCACGCACCATCGCAATCACAGCTTAGACTGCCGAATTGGTGACCCTATACAGCAACAGACTCATCATCGGAACAGGAGTCTGGATTCAGTCCTCCAGCAAATTCCTGAAAGCGGATCTTCAAGCTTCCACCAACAACCCCTCCATTGCCAAGTCTCTAAACTCCATGACACAAGCAGTGACAGCGTCTCGCTGGACACTCCGCCCTCTTCCGCGAGTCCGTCTTGCCTCATTCCTGTCCGAGACAACACGGATCGGACGAGTTTAGCGTCCGACGACAGTGGCATCTTTAATTCGGACGATGGTGATCGTCAACATTCTCGGCTGACTCTGGACATCAGCCACAGTCACATCCTCAAGCATTCCTCGACGTGTGATTTGCCCAAAGATAATTTAGTTGTCGACATGGCCGAGGAGGCTGTGGATGATTTAGTATGTGATAATGAGACTGATAGACTCACGAACTCGAATGAGTCGTTAGATTCTAATGCTAAAGTTGTGATGTTTTCTAAACCGCCACCCAAAGAGTCGCTCTTACTTCGGTTGTTTGAATCTACTTTGTTTGATATGTCTATAGCGATTACTTATCTCTTCAATTCTAAAGAACCTGGAGTACAGACGTACTTGGGTAAGTCCAGAAGCATTATTTTATCTCAAGTCAATACTCAATATCTATAATTTAGTTTTGTATCTCATCTACAAGCATTCTTCAAATAAATTTGTTTCATGAAAACTCGTGAAACCTTGAGGTTCCTATACCCGAATTTAAAATTTCTTACTGAATTAGCCAATGATCTAAATTCCTTTTTTTTCTGTCACTCTTCTTTGTATCTAGAGATTGTATCATTTAGGTTTGGCCGTAATATAGTTGATTCTGGCTTTTAATTCTACATTATGGGTAATTGGAATCTTTGCCTGCGTGAAAATCAAATCCCAACTGTATTTTGAATTGATGATCAATGGTATCGTTTTAATATGGCCTCGTTATATATTATATTAATAATATTGCATATTACCTGATTAAGAACTTCATTCGCTTCAAGAATGCATAAGAAAGAAGAAAATAGTCTATGTTTCAAGCGCTTAAAAAATAGGCACCCATTTTCAAGATTTGCCGTTCGTGAATGAGGAGAAACAAAAGTGATTTGAAATATAAAACGTTAGGTACAACTTTAGTATGTGCAACATAAAGTACAACTGGCAACTAAAATACAACTTCATTCCTGGCAAGTCTTGAAAACGAGCCTATTTTTGATGTGCTTGGAACATGTCGACTATTTTTTTTCTTTTTTTCTTGAAGCGAATGGAGTTATTTATTCTGTTAATATCTTACTGCTTCAGTTTCTTGGGATTATTTATTTAATGTATAAAATTGACTCACTGACTCTATAATTCACCCTATGGTTCCTTGTTTGAGAACAGAATGGACCCCTATTCGTCGATTCCATGATAGAAGATGGACTTTTTTTTTGGTCATTAATTCTCTTTACTTGATCCTCCATCCCGTGTTAATCTTACTATCCTGGTGTTATGGTCTTCAGTTAACTGTTATTTTTCAAGTTCGAGTTAGGGGCGTTCTTTTTTTTATTTTCTTTCTGCAATGTTACTTCTAAAAGGTAAACACTGTTTTTGACATTGCCCTGCATAATCATTTCTTTTAGACACCTTATCCCCCAAATTATTTTTTTAAATATTTATTGCAATAATCAAATCTTGTTTCAATTAAAAGTGATATCAGGGGTCTGTCCAGCCATTTTGTGAAAGGGCCGTTTTCGTAAGATTGTGAAAAAATTACTCGTAATTGGTAAATATAAAATAAACGTTAAGTCNGCTTTTATGAATTTGTGCAAATAGGGTCCGGTTATTGCAAAAAACTTTTTCAAGGAGTTTTTAAATTGTAAATAGATACAAGATTATGCTCAGCCAACACCTCCTAGAAAAGAGTAGGCCTCTGCACGGGTTACCATAAATATCCTTTAGTAGTCCAAACGTAATGACTTATTTCGTATTTTCAACCACTGCGCAGTTTAGTACCCCGAACGTAATGAGATCTTTCTTATTTTTCATCAACTGCGCAGTTAACTTCGTCACATCGGACTACTAATTTGATCCGTGCTGAGGCCTTCCTTATTCTAGGAGGTGTTGGCTCAGCACTGTAAAATTATAATGAAAAAAAAAAAATTTAAATTTTCAAAAATAAACAGCAATTGCTGCTTCTTAATTAGAGATGCAACATACAAATATTTGGTATTTAGCCTATACTGCTGAACGCAGAATATTCATTTCGGACGAATAAAGAAAGGAAGGAAGAAGCGTTTGCCGAAGATCAAACTTTTAGTTCGTTTACATCTGTCTTTCTTCTCCTGGGAAGGGTTTATTCCATTAACAAAACAATAATGAAGATAAAGATTGTGAAGGGTCCGATTAAAAGATAAATTATTTTGTGAAGGGTCCGTTTTTAAGTTAAAATATTTTGTGAAGGGTCCGTTTTTATGAAAAGATATTTTCTGAAGGGTCCGTTGCTTAATTTGAAATTTTTGCTAGATTTTTTTTAATGGGGTATTGATGCATTTCTATTGTTAAAAATTGGTTTGATAATTCTGAAAAATACTGTTTCAACGCAACTCTTGAAATGAAATGTATACGAGAAGAAAGTTCTATCAGAACAGATAAGTGCTTAATATGCAACTTAGTAAATATCAACGTTTACTCGGTACTTGTTTATGTGCTTATGTCTACCCTAAAATGTGTGATAATGATAGCGATAGTAGTAATAAAGATAGCAAAAAAGATATTATGTTGACAAGAAATGTAAGATTTTTTTCGTCTTTAAGTAAAACCAAGTTGAACCTTGAACTGAATGTTCAGCATGAACTGACTGAAATTTTTTTTTCTTCATGTTTATAATTTTTCCTTTTGTGTCTCGTGATGTTTTTGCATATCCCGTCTAACTTTTATTTTTGGCCTAGTTCCAGATAGATCTCGTTTGAAAGTCTGGCATAGGTTTCGGAGGGTGGGCTGCTTGAACTTGTATGTCATCACGTCAAAGAGGGAAGCATTGTACAGGGAAGAAAAAAAAAAGTGTGATTTGTTTTCTATAAGCTTCATGAACGCTCCTCCACTTTACATGTTCACGATCTCTCGCCGCGTGAATGAAAATTGCAATTTTATGCTAATTATTCACTGACTTATGTTTGAAACAGTGCCGGTAGATGACAGTTATATTGCTTGTCTTCTTTTTTTGTAATATATATCTATCGTGCTTATTATTTCTAGATTTTAGTGTTTTCAAAAAGACTTCTTGCTGTGAGAGAGACACTGCGCGATTGAAAACCCATCCTGGATAACATTTTAATGTTTTCACTGTATTTAAATGTTTTTTTTTCTCCCTTTACTTCAAGTTAACTTTATATTCTAAAAATTTTTTCCTTAAGAAACGAAAAATGTACATTCAGATTAGGCAGAAGAAACTCATTATTGCGTATTGTAAAAAAAGAAAAAAAAAAAATTAAAATTATTAATGGAAATGTCTTTTCTATAAAATAAATTTATACACATTTATTATGCAGGGGTCTGTCCAGACATTTTGTGAAAGGTCCGTTTTTGTTAAATTGTGAAAAAATTAATCGTAATTTGTGAATATAAAATAAACGGTGAGTCACATTCTTTCAACCAGGGTCCGTTATTGCAAAAAAAAAAAAAAAAAAAAAAAATTCGTTTACATCTGTCTTTCTCCCTCCCCCCCCTTCCTGGGAATGGTTTATTCGATTAACAAAACAGTAATGAAGAAAAACAAATTTGTGAAGGGTCCGATTAAAAGCTAAAATATTTTGTGAAGGGTCCGTTTTTATAAAAATATATTTTGCGAAGGGTCCGTTTTTATAAAAAGATATTTTGTGAAGAGTCCGTTAACGGAACAAAATTTCTTCTAAACAGACCCCTGTTATGATTTTTGTTCTGAAAACTAAATTTTGTTTGAGACTATTGCTACTTAGTGTCAGAAGTACTGCATTGACCTTTTGAGAAAAGTGTCAGATTAGATTTTCTCTCTGTGATTTTTTACATTAGAGATAATATATTTATATTGAAAAATAATTTACATATCTTAGATGACATTTTCACAAATCCCTTTTAAAATTCAGGGTTCTTTTCACACTAAACTGTGTTACGTCTGAAAATATTGTATTCATTTCATTCAACATATTTCGTTTGAAGGGGCCAATTAATTATTTTGTAAAGCACCATACTAGAGAAAAAGGGGTCTTGATTAACTTTTTTTAATAAGAATTTTCTGACAACGAGAGAAGGAAGGGTCTGAGTGATGCTTACCTAAGACTAAAATCGCCTTATTTTAACAAAAAATTGGAAAATTTTTAGTTTCTAAAGTTTTTGACTTCAAAGGAAAACAAAAAATTTCAAAATAATGTTTTACTCAAAATTATATGAAATGAATTTTATTTTATCCAAAGTTAAGTCTTTCTTTTAAATTTAATCATTAATTTCAATAAAAACCGAGCTGGAAATTTGGGAGATGGATCCGATTTTCTTACAGAGGCATCAGCGAGTGAAAAAAAAAATAATAAACACGCATCTTTGAACAACCGCACTTTTTTTTCTTCTTTTTACTAAGATGTTTCATCAGATGTAAATTTGTGTTGTTAAAAAAATAACTTATGTCTCATTGGATCGGACTGATAGTTGTCATAAATTTTTAATAATTAATAAATATTTTTTAATTATTAAACATGGATTATATAGCATTATCTTTTTTTTTATTTTTTTTTTCGTTTATACAAGTTTGTTTATCGTTCTATTTAAGAACCGGTTGGCATAAGAGTTGGCGAAACTTTCATTTATCATTTGCTTTTGTCTGGACGGAAAAGTGATTCAAAATGAGTGGGGTAAAACATTCGTGCGATAAAGAACATAGGAAAACGAGAAAACGACTAAGGTGGAAAAATGTTCCAAGAAATGTACCTAATTATTCAGCTACATTGTCTTGTCTGCTTCGTGTGAAATAGATCACAAGGCTACTGGACCGCTTATTGATCATTTCTGATAAGATGGGCTACTTTTAATTTAAAATCTTAAGTTTTCCTCTGTCTCCAAAAACAAGTTTTAAAATTATTCTATTAGCTATTTAATTTGTTTTTTAACATTCTCTAGTTTTGTCGTCTCAGTTTATAGGCCTCGGTTGGAGGGTAATGTGATGTTTTTTTTTTTTTTTTTATGATTTGCGAAAGGCAAATTAAATTATTTTCATTTTAGTTGAATCTTAAATCTTGAGGGGTTATTATTTTTTTATAATCATGTATTGAAATTAGAAAATGTAGATTACTTTTAAACCCTATATAAATTATTATTGTAGATAGTTTATATGTTAGTGCTCTTAAATTTTTTCTATTCTTAACCATCTAACTTAACTATTTCTTCATCTGGATGTTATTTTTCTCGTTACGAAAGTTCAGACTTTTGTAGCCTTTTGGTTTGCCTCCGAACTATGCGGAAATTCAAAAAAATTAAACCTGCATTTTTTTGAGCGAGGAATATCGCCTTTTGCTTGATTTGCTTACCTTTATTTATTACGTAATAATAAACTTTTGGGGGCTAATTTCGTATTTTCAATCT